TTCCCAATTAATTAGGCAGAAAGAAGCAATGAAGGAATGAAACCTCAGAAACCGTATCAAAGCCCTGAGATGTCTAATGAGGGGAACAACAGCATCAACAACAGACAACATGCACCAAAAGGTAGAGGCTTTCAGTGATCCATTTCAAGCATCTTGGCTGTACTTCCTTTGAAATGAAGAGCAAGCTGTTGGGAAGCAGGGGAGAGGAGAGGGAGGAGCAGCCTGTTTGATCAGAAAATCACTGTTTCCTTGAAGGCTTGTCACAAAAGAGATAATCTGTCTGTATTGTTGATGTGTCCTCAGAGCCCATCACTCACTGGTGGAGGCAAGAGGCAGCACACAACAGGTGAGATTGGATCAGAGGAAAACCCTCTGTTTTGAAATCTGCATAGTTAAAACCTTGTGTATAGCTAAGGGACAGACAATGCTGGGAGTGCTAGCCTGGCACTGAGCACCTGGGGGAAAGGATCCTATCAGCTACAGCTCAACTAACTAACTAACTAACTAACTAACTAACTAGCAGTCTATCCATGCACCCCAAAGAGGAGCAGCTATGCCTATTTGGGATTAGGACCCAGTTTCCCTCAGGTCCCTTCAATAACTGCTGCAGTCCTGCTCCTGGATGATCTCTGGGAGCTGAGAGAAAAACAGGTCCAACCACATCCACTAAATGGGCTGGAAAGACCCAAAACCTGCCCAGATCTGTCTGATCAATGACTGCAGATATCTTACTCCTGTCCCTTAATAGCTGTCATGAATATCAGTGATGGAACATCACACAGAGAACTGCAAAAGGAACAGAAGCAAAACTGCCATGTCACAGTGTCTACCCCACACTCAGTGACCAGGGATGCTCCAGAGGCATTCCCAAACACCAAGACTTCCTTCCAAGCCATCCTTCCCAAGCGTTTTCTAAACATTTATTTAATCATGTCTTCTAGATTTCCCCAGTCCTTCCCTAACAGGGATCTTTATCCCCCTTAATAGCTTACAGTCCTCTCTCACTCCAGGGATGTTGTTCAGGTGGAGCTGTAATGAAAGACAACTAATTCCATTAGGCAATTAAAGTGGTGAAGATGACTGGCTTGGGGAAAAAGGAAGAGATTGAGAGAAGGAAGAGGGAGGCAACAATGTAGCACATGAATTAAAAAATCAATGCTGTAATTGACTTCAGTTTATTTAGGCAAGTGGGTGTAATGGGGGAAACTGACTGGGATGTGATGCTTAAAGGTGTTTGGCCTGGGGGGGAAAGTTCTTCGGGATGTCCAAAGCTCTTTGGCCATGGGAAAGAACATTCTTTGGGATGTGATGTTTCAAGCCCTTTGGCCTTGCTGGTGTAGCTTGTTGCCCAGGGGGTGCAGAAGCCCCAGAGCTCACAGCCTGGAAGGGCAGGAGGGGAGTGGTGATGGCAAATCCCAGACTTGCTGTGGGTAAATCTTACAGAGGCACTAACCTTCCACACTCCACTAAGCTACTTACCAGAGGATGTAAAAAAAGCCCAAACTTAATAGAACTGACCTTCAACTGGAAGTAAAGATCTTTCTACAGCTGTAAGATCCCACCAAAACAGTTCTGCAGGACCTCTGAAGAGCTTGGAGGAATGGAGTGTGTGTTCGATGCCCACCTTGCCTCAACTCTGCCCAGGAAGGGTTATGAACTGTGGGGTTTGACCTCCCTGGCAGGACTGGGAAAGTTCATCAGAGAACAAAGAACAGAAGTGCAGAAAGCACCTGATGCAGAAGTGCCAGTGGTACTCACTGGGACCAGTAACATCACACACAGCAGAGGTGTCAAAATGATTAAGTGAGGAAAGAAAACATCCTGTGGATGTTCTGGTCAGTCCAGAGCTAAGGAGAGAAACCGGTCAAAAGCCACAGCCAACAAAGAGAAAAAAATCCATAATTTCATGCAAATTTAACAAGCAAATGCTCCAGAGTATATCAGAGCAGGTCCTGAATTATGTAGACTGTGCCTCATCCCACCCACACGTTGCCTTTGGCCCTTCCCAGAGGCACCCACAGGGATGGAGCAGAGGGAACCTGACTGTCTGGGGAGGGCTAGGAGCTGAGGAGAAGGAGGGGGAGCAGAGTCTGGCTCCTTTCTGAGAGGGCAGGCAGCAACCTCAACCCCAGCTCATCTCACAGCTTCTGTACAGGACCAGTGCACACCTGGTGCTTCTGTACCAAGGGCTGCTCTGAGAATTCCAGTCTGGAGGATGCAGAAAACTCCCTCAAACCAGTCCCCAAGCACAGGAGCAGCAGAACACTGCAGGACACCTCTGTCCTCACCCAGCTCTCTGCTCAGCTCTGCAGCACCACAGCACAGAGCCCAGGTCCAGGCTTCACTGAGGAATGGATGGAAACTGGGAATTATGGAGCAGTAACTCCTGCTCATAAACATCCCCACGAGTTCTGCATTTCCATAAAGCTCCTCCCTGCAGCAGCACTCGGAATTCGCAGTCCATTAGTCCTGTTTTCAAAGTCTGTTGACTCTTAAACTAAGGCAAGTTCCTGCCTTTGGAACGGCACAACAGGCAGTGCTGCCAAGAAAATGGAATTTACACCCAAACAATAGGGAAAATATTTGCTCAGCAAACAGCACAGCAAACCTGTGCCCTGGCTGGGCACTGCCACGGGGCTGCACCTGAGGCAGGCAGGGCTCTGCAGAGGGTAATAAATGCAGGTTGGGAGCAGAGAAATTCCATTTTATGGAATCAATTCCTTACCTAAGTATTTTAAATACAGAGCGTGCGAGGGATCGCCAATAGAAATTCCAAGTGGTTTATTCTGGGCAGTTAAAGTGATCCGAAGTGCTGTCTCAGCCCAAGGCTCTCCTTGCCCAGGGTGTTCTCTGGACACTGCATGCCAAACACTCTGATCCAGGCCCTGCCACCAGCAAGCCCCAGTTCCCACTCCACCAGGCTGCAGATCCCCAGGGGAGCAGTCCCAAGGAAGGATTTCCCCTCCAGTCAGGCATTACAGGGTCCTGTGCTCTTCACTTTCACTACCTTTCCTCTTTCATTCTCAGCTGCTTTAAGCAGCCCCTTTGATCCCTGTAATTGAGCCTCCTTCCAGATTACCCTCAGGTCCACCCCTTCCCTGCCCAGTGACACTCCAACCCCATGACCCAAGGGAGGGTTAGTGCAGAGCTGGCTTGGTTTTCTTGCCACTTTTCCACCAGCACCTCAGTTATCCTGCACTGAACTGCAGAACTCTTGCTTGCTCAGAGGATTCATCAAGCCAGAAGAGCCCACAGCTCTGTCAGCTCCTGCTCTCTCCCCCAGCACAACCTTCACTGGAGAATTGCATGGAGTGACTGAATATTGCCTGACTGCAGGATTTTGCAGATGAAACAAGGGCTGGAGTGGTTTTTACTCCCTCAGCACACAAATTTATGTAGCTACACAACAATAAAGCAAAGTCTTAAATTTAATCAGAACAAATACTTCAAGCAATGGCAAGCTGATAAATTATTTAGAGAGGGGCTCAATAAGACCTGGAAGGAAATATGCATCAGCTGTGCAGCCTGGGAGCTTCCAGAAACAACGGATTTTCATGCTTTACCCCTTTTACAGCCTTTTTTTTCAGCTGAGCTGTTTGTGTTTAACAAAAAGGGGGATGTTTGAAGCACATCCTGCAGGCAGCAGCAGCCAAGGACTGGCTGGCAGCGATGCCACAGGACTGGTCACACTGTGCTCATCCCTGCCAGCACCATTTGTGCATTCCCCACAAGGTGCTGAGGACAGGCAGCTCCTGGTGTAGGGAGCTGACAGCCTGGGAATATTGGCTAAATCAGAAGATTTTAATGGTTTGGTCTTTTTTTCCCAGACTGCCTAGTTTTCCCCCCAATTGTCTTCCTTCCACCCACCCCTCAGCCACTCCAAACCACTGGGAAACAGATAAAGCAGATGTATTAGTATTTCTATGAAAGCTCTAGGAAATTCAATAATGTTCCCATTGTTTTATTGCAGATGGCACAGCAACTTCTCTTTATTACTGCAGAAAACTCAAGAGCCCTGTGGAGTGCCATAAAAGGGGACGTGTTTGGCTTTGCAATGTTTCAGGGGCTGTGATTTACTGCAGGATCCAGGCCCCCTGCACACAGCATTCCCAGTCTGGGATGGCCTCTGCCAGGCAGGGTGAGGGGCCCAGGCAGAAACCTGCTGCTCCTGACCCTGTCCCTCACTCCTCAGCAACAGAGCACAGAAATAGGGTTGTTTCCACCTTTGCTTCAAGATGTTTTACTCTATTTGATCACAGAATCATTGAGGCTCAAAAAGACCTCTGAGATCATCAAGTCCAACCTGTGACCCATCACCACTTGGCAACCAGACCAGAGCACTGAGTGCCATGTCCAGTTGTTCTCTGAATACCTCCAGGGATGGTGGGGACTCCACCACTTCCCTGGGCAGTACCAATGCCTGACAGCCCTTCCCATGAAGAAATTCCTCCTGATGTGCACCCTGAACCTCCCCTGGTACAGCCTGAGGTTGTTTCCTCTCATCCTGTCCCCTGGGAGCAGAGCCTGACCCCACCTGGCTGCACCTCCTGGCAGGGAGTTGAAGAGAGTGAGAAGGTCCTCCCTGAGCTTCCTTTTCTCCAGGCTGAGCTCCTCCAGCTCTCTCGGCTGCTCCTTGTGCTCCAGCCGCCTCCCCAGCTCCATTCCCTTCCCCGGACACCTTCAGCCCTTCACTGTCATTTTTAATTTCAGGCACTATTCGAATTTCCTGTCAAATCCTTGGGCTGTAGATTCAGAGTTAAAAATTGTCAATGTACCATGAGGAAAACCAGAGAAGTAAATTTTGCTGTCTTAAATCTATACCAATATGTACAGTCTGTGCCTCAGGACAAGTCCTTCTGATACAAATTCTCCTAAAACGCTTAAGCACAGGACAGAGCATGACACACAGTTCAGTCAGGTGAAGGTTCCACCCCCAAAGCAGAGATGTTCAGGCATCACACACAACCCAACAGGGGCAGGAGGAGCCCAGGAACACTCACCCTTGGCTGCCAGTTCTCATACTGCTTCTGTAGGTTTGCCCCGATGGTCTCCAGAGCCTTCTGAGGGCCCATGGACAGAGGATCTGGGAACAGACACAAAGGAGCATTTCTCACCACAGCATTCAATGATATTTAATGCAGGTTCCTTTCATGAGCAATTTCAAACCCATCAACAGGACATTCCCCATGGAATTTTCCTGGGGCAACACCCAGAAATGATCCCCAAATTTCTCCCTCCAGCACAAATCCAGTTCCACTACAGACTGCCATAGTTGGAAGGTTTCTCTCACCAAGGAACCAAACACACCCTTGTTGTGAAAGGCAAGAGAGATATTGCAGCTCTTTCTTTTCATACTAAAAAGAGGTTTTTGTTGTAAATAATGATAAAAATTCAGATTGGTTAAATATTTGATGCCAAGCATCATCTCCTGATGAATGAAAATCCTGCTCCATTGACTTCCCTTGCTTCCTGCTGCACAGAGCATGTGCCATTTGTCATCTTTAAGGAGTTAATTTTATCACTAGATAATTAGTACCATCCATACACAGCACTGCAACTCTGTGCTTTGTTCCAACACCATGGACAGAGAATTACACTATTAACAAGTAAAAAAAAGCCCTAGAAGCTAATATTTTGCTATTTAATAATTATTTCGAAAGCATTTAACCAAATCAGTGAAGAGTTTGAGTTTGGTTTTTTTCATTGCTACAAATAATCTCTATCTTTTTTAGGAAAAACTCTAATATAGTAGGAGGAAAGCAGCATTCTGAGTTCATAGAATCATAGAATTTAAGGGTTGGAATGGACCTTATAGATCATCTAGTCCCAACCCCCTGCCCTGGGCAGGGACACCTCCTCACTAGATCAGGTTGCTCAAGGCTCATCCAGCCTGGCCTTGAACACTGCCAAGGCTGGGGCAGCCACAGCCTCCCTGGGCAACCTGGGACAGTGTCTCACCACCCTCACAGGAAAAAAT